CACAAGCACATGGCTCTGTTACATGGATTTGAACTCAAGTCCCCCACAACCGCAACCATCTCTCGCTTTTCTTGCAGAAGACACAAAGATATACGTAAGTCTGAAGCTACATCACCTGTGGCAAGTCGCGGTAGACATTGAACTGTTGAAACTATAGCTTAACATATGCATCGGCAGTGCAGCCAAAGCAGAGGACCGAGTGGAAGAGGAGAATCGAGGAGGCCATGGACCGAATACGGACCGGGAAGAAGAAGAAGAAGAAGAAGAAGAAGGAGGAGGAGGAGGAGGAGAAGAAGGAGAAGAAGGAGGAGGAGGAGGAGAAGGAGGAGGAGGAGGAGGAGGAGGAGAAGGAGAAGAAGTTCTTCGGTGGAATTGATATTCATACATTTCAAACCGATCTCAGAAAATTTTGTGCAAAATTGAATACCTTTTTTATTGGCCGTGCTATTATTGTAAAACTTTCAATTTTTTCTGAAAACGTGGTACATGTAGGCAACCTTCCCTAAAATATTAGATGTGTGTTGGACCATTTTCGCACTGAGTGACTCAAATTGTCAGCGTCGGCACACATACACCATATTATTCATAATTAATACTTCCAACGGTTAAAACCTTTAGTAATACGCAATATAATTAACAGATACAAATGCGGGGTTAGAATATTTTTTCTATAACATACCAGTAACTATAATATTTGGACCGCAAAACGAAATCGATACTTCAGCCAGCTGGCTGGCTCGTTAGAAACATGGCGTGCAGTAGTTCGATTAACAGCCGCATTAGAACAATGGCGCCATGCGTGTCTTGCTGATAATGGTGGCAGCTGATGTAATTACCCACGCACCTGGCTCCCTTAAACAGAGCGTCTGAAATTATTTCAGTACTGCGCATATTTATTTTGTGAGGCTAATGACGTTGGCGACGGACAGCGTCTACAGATCCCACTCTCATTTACCAAAGCAAATGATTATCTTGTGACACAGATTTAGGTTATTCGATCGAAAAAAGACTTCTTGAGGTGAGGAAGTTATTGTTTTACTCAGACTCACCAGAAGAATTCTGGCCTTATAGTAAGAATATTGCTTTCTTCCACGTCTTTTCAAACTATTTAACGTATTCAATTGAGCTTACTAGCAAATTCCTTACAAAAATGATAATAAAAAGCCTCCTCAGGAAAACGAACACTTGGAAGATCTTGACGTAGATTCATTTCGCTCAGGATGGGTCCCCAACACAGTAATGAAACTTGGAGTTATAGAAAAGGGAATTTCTTCACTAATTAAGCGACTATTAGGTTTTCAAGCACAACTCTGCTTAATTTAGTTAATTAGTAAGTTGTGTTAATTTCAATAAACAATATATTTAAAATTAACAGTGCCAATTAAAATAAACGTGTTGTGCTGTCATGTAAAGGTAGGAGCCACGTGAAGGGCTAATCACTCGTCCAAGGATTTCTACAAAATATTAAAAAATATTAAGATACCTCCCACGTGTCAGTAGACCAAGGTCCTTCTTGATTGTAGAGCCACTGATAATAAAAATTACAATTAAAATAAAAAGTAGAATATTGTCAAAACAGAAGATATTATAGTTACCACAGAGCTTTAAAGTATTAAGAATGTATGACCCAAAGAGATAATTTTATTCTTATAATTTCTCGCGATATTTAAGTTGACATAAGATTACAGTAAAAAGACATTTCAAATGAATCTCGATTGTACCGTCTGAATATGAATTTTAATTGCAAATTAATCTTTTGCGACGTTTATATTAGAAAACTACTTCTTACTTTGTGTAATAAGCAATTTGTAGTCTGTCTCAGTGTTTTTTGGTCACACTGTACTCATAAGCAGATAATTTCAGCTCGCGTGTGAACTGTACTCACTCCACTTTTCCCCTCTTCCCCGCCCCCGGGCTGACTGTAAATAATAGAGCGGATGTCCGGTTTGTATCAAATTTAAATTTTTAGAACACGATCAAATCCCACGATAGAGTCAGCCCAACCAGACAGACACCTGTGTGAACGTCTGTCTGTCTGTCTGTCTGTCTGTCTGGACTTACCAACCGGCGAAATAAATTTTTATGACTGTCTTTGTAGCGAAAAACTACAATTATACTGGCGCCAGCATGTAGAACACAAAACATTTACACTGCAGAAACTCCACTACGCAGTTAAATCACCTCCAGTACAATGCAGTTTACTTTAAACTGACTTCTCACAGAAAATGAACCAGTAATAGGAAAAACCTTGTATATTTGCTAAAACACTTTTATAAGCAAGTCGCGACTTCCGAGGTACCCAGTCATATCAGAAACCTGATGATGGGGACAGAGTTCGTTCCCGAAACGTCGGTTTACTACAGTAACCAGTTAACGCGGCTGATTTCCCGAGAAGATTTTATTCATCAAGTTTTGTCTCGTGTCATTTAAGTAGGAAAATGGCGCGGGGACTCGATCGACTGCTTTTAGAAGTTCTACTAAAATATATAAAGATACAAAAAGGAATACAGAAAAATACGAAAGATGCCACTCCCTGTCGGATTTTCAACAAACCTTTCCACTGATGATATTAAACGTTACGTTCTGTTTTCTTTTCTGGGTTACTATTTCGCCCAATAATTTTCTATTACTGAAATAACGCATTTGAAACTTATCGTGTGACAAGACACCGACGCTTGAATTTATTAATAAATACATTGTCTCGTAATATGTTACGAGTTCAGAAGAAGCAAACCGAACTCTTTCTGAATGAGTAGGCTATAACTTTAATCGCCCTCTCATACTCTGAAACAGGACATATAAAATATCATCTGATTTTATGAAGGCACTTCTTAAAGATGTCCTTTATAAATGCCTTTAGAGTCTGATGTAAATCTAACACTTACAGTATCACGACTCTAGGTCCAGTGGTTACATGCAACGTGTTTCGTGAAGATTTACGAACCTGTTTGCTGAAGAAGTGTGTGGGTTCATAACACGAAACACACACAGGTTACATTACGACAAAAAAGGAAAACAAAAGTTTTACCCGTGAGATGGTAGTTTTTACCTAACAGGATTGCACTCAGCTGGCATCTGACGGCGCATTTCCTTATGCAGAATTTTTTTAAACTTTTCCACATTAAATATAACACAGCATCTCTGAAGAAGAAGAAAAAGTTATAATGTTTTGCATGTGTGTGTACAAGGAAGAAGGAAACTGAAAAAAATACAAGAACAGTACAAGGAAAGATGCGACAAGACAACGTGATCTCTGTTTACTTCTAATATGAACACCATTTTAAGATCATTACTTTCTGACACGTGTCATTTTGTGATCAATAAACCTTAAATACGAACTTTACCATTCAACTTTTAAATAACCAGACATATCAGTCCACTGACTATTCCGTGAAAGTAATGACACTTATAAGAAAAAGCTTTCTAACAGAGTTACAGCTGCAAATAATTAATGTTTTATAGATGGGATGAACGTGATGAAATATTATTGTAAAAAATTCTGGATTTAACCCAGAACTAGAAGACGGAAGTGTATATTCAGAAGACACACGTTTCGATCCAAAATCAGGACCTACCTAACAATTCTAGATGAAATTATCAACGAATTCAACCAACTTCGTGAAATAACTAAAAATAATTTATCATAACAATTGTAGACGATAAACTTATTTTAAACATTTCCATATGATGGAAGTTTAACTCTTTAAATCTCAATGGTAACTATATGTACCATCTGCTTTAACAACCAGTAATTCTCCTTTTTTACCACTGAGTGTATATATGAGTTTCATATGATCTCATAATAAACAGCGATCATTTCAGCATTAACCATTTTATCTTTGAAATGGTGAAGCAAAGTGTTTTATTTGCGGTACGGACTGGGTGACTAAATATTATTTAGATTAACTTCTGACTTAAAGCGTTAATAAGTAGCAAGAAATACTTTAATTTGCGTCGGCCTATCTGCGCTGTTAACGGTTCATTAATTATTAACGTCAAAAAAAATTGTGCCTATGCTGAACATAATCTGCAAATTACCTTCAAAACGCCATGTTTGTGTTCGCAATAAGTGACCGTTAAAACATTGGGGTGAGGGGGAACACATTTGGAAAACACGTGTCATCAATATTAGATCGCAACTTCCCACTCCTATAATGAAACGAAGTTGACAGTCGAGGACAAGTACTGACTCCGTAGTGATAAATCATAAATCCGACACTAACATCTCATAAGCAACATTATCAAGATGAAAACCTGCGAATAAATTTCAATCTTATTTCCTGTCCCAACCTTTATTTAAAAGGAAAAGTCCGCGATTCTGACAAAGGCCACCTGACAATATATTCCATGCAAATCGATGGTAGCGATCGCGGCTTCCTACACTGCCGACATACGTACATTGATACCTACCAATGACGGGATTACACATCTGTCTGCTTCACGCCCACTTATTGCAAACATTTGAGAAACTTTTCTGCGTGCTATTCGAAAGGATCCAGCGGTTATGTTAAATGTGGGCCTAGGTAACGTCATAAGTTGAGAATTTCTACATATGTACCATATATGCATGTGTTTATGTATATACGCACGTATATTTATTTAACTATGTACGCGTATGTAAAAATGTGTAGGCCTATGTGTGTATGTGAATGAATAAATATGTATGTGTACGTTTTTGGAATCAATAGTAGTACATTAAAATAACATTTATGTCGAAATTATGATTAATTCAGTATATGCCAACAGTCACTCGATTCAGAATTTTGTTTTTCATTGACAGAGAGGTTAGAACTTAAAAATAAAATTTCCCCAATGAAATCTTGAGCAGAAACTTGTTCTGGTTCAGCGTTGTTAAACAATCACACATCAGTAGCCTGTCTGGAAATCCAGTAAGTGGTTCGAGATTTAAAATCGGAAAATGTCTGATACTTAGCAAAAATGTCAACCACTATACCACAACGTTAGGTTGGTAACACTGAGACAGACGACTAATCAGGAATGTAAATATCGGACTTCTCAGATAATTCTGGCTCCACAGAGACCCGTTGTGTAATATCGGTGCCGACTGACGCAAGAGCTGCCCTATATATCACTCGCGTGTCGCTCGCTGGTAAGAACAGGTTTGTCAACCTTGTTAATTTTCACAGAAACTTCATGCATGAACCATACGAAATAAACAGAAGGTCTAGTTGTTATACAGATGATATAATGCAATGAATTGGATGTAGAGTCTTTCAGAAAATATTTGTGACCACATCATGACTTGTTTTTCACATAGGTCAAAGAAATGTAGATGCAAAAATATACACATTTAACAAACTCTCTTGAGATAACTATGAAATGATGTTCAAGAATAACGTGTAGTAGGGAAATACGTTTTGTTCGTCAATTTTAACGCACAACTGGTACACAAAAAAAAATATATTACTGTTGATTAACCTCTCTTAACCAGCCAGGGGAGACTGGCCTAAAATGACATAGACTACTACTCTAAATATAAATCTGTTTAATATAATAGCTCTGACCTCTTAATTAAAAACTGCATGCTGTCTGTAATGTTTGGCCTGTGAACAAATGTTTGTTGCATATGCAACTAGACTTCCTATGGATATTTAAAAAAATATAAAAATACACAATTTGTTTTTCGTCAGTGCCTGGGTAAAATGGCAAACTCATGGTCTTCTTTTGAACTACTATTATGTTTACCAATACCAGATTGCCAGATTATTTTTTTCCTGATTAACAACATACTAGGCACAAAGCAGCTAAACAAAAACACAGAGCAGTTATTGTTATATCATTCCTTCCTATTAATAACAAATTATAAAACATTACAATAATCAAGTTAAAAATCTGAAAGCACCAAGTCGTCTGAGAAAGGAAAATATCCTGTGCGATTAGGTCTGTGTACAAAGACTAATGCAAACCTACTATGTTATTTCACTCGAAGTTGGCTGCAGTTAGTTTCCTACCATAACCTAAACACACAAGAAGCAGTGATGCAGATAAAAAGTATTAACTATGACTTACTTTCGAAGTCTTCATTCGGTACGTGTTTCAATAAACTGATCACAAATATTAGGCAGCCAAAGGCGATAAACTATGACTGTAAAACAGTAAGCGAAAAGACCTAAAACACACACTTTCACACACAAACCTTAAACACCGCGTTTTTACAACACGGCATTTTCACTAGAGTTGAGTACCAACATGACGAACCTAACGACGCGAAATTTAAAACTGTGGCATACATTTGACAGAAACACAGGTGTATAGTTCTACCCTGTTATGTAATTTAATACAAAAATCTCCTGACGCAATGGATTAAATCCGTTCTTTCAAAGCCATTCAGCTGGTAAATTCTCCTCCCTTTACGAAACTCAAAGGTTCATTACTGTGTTCGTAGGAACTGGCCACTGGATTCTATCCTGAGCCACATGAATGCTGTCTACAACAGCAAATCCTTTTTCTTTAGAATACATTTTAATATTATCCACCCATCTACTCAAGGTATCTCAAGTGCTGATGCAGGCAAAAGGGTCAGGACTATCTAAAGCGCGTAATTTCGCTTGGTGGTAGCGCTGTATAGAAACCTCACTGGACTAACACGTCTTTACATTACGCGGATTGTGTATAACGCGGTAGAGGATATGACAACTGGTTACAAAGAACTACAGAAGTGTGGGGTAGGGAGAAATAACTTAAATTGTCTTCATGACGCCGTCTTCGAAGAGTGGGATTATTAGAGGCGTAACTTTTCGTGTTATGACAGAAGCTGTTTCATGTCTGCGGCTTTATACCAGACGGGCAGTTGGTATAGCTGCTGCAGTGGAAATGGCTCCGTACGACATGCATGGGCTAGAAGGCAGGCAGGCGGCTGCGTGGAAAAGCAGGGTCATTGGGGAACATGGCGTGCAGCGAACAGATGTGCCCAAATTATATAGTCCCTTCCCCAGACAATGGTAAGTGCGCCTTCTCATTTCCCACAATATCCCTGCACCACACACGTCACTTACTCCTATCAGAAAATAAAAATTCCTTTGAATTTTCGACAACTGGCTTGCAGATAATTCAAAAGATCACGTAAAAAGGACACAAGAAACAACTGCACTATAAAATGACAAAAAATATTTTTTAATAACAGAAGTCCTGTTTATTTCTTGTCTGTCTATAGCAGTGGTATTCAATCTGGGGTACGCGTACCCCCGGGGGTAAGCCAAGACATCTTAGGGGGTACGTGAAATTTAAAAAAAAATATTATTTTATGATAAACACTGAATAATCAGTAATGTAATTTATTTAATTCATTTTACATGTAGATTATATACTATGTATAACCTGAATTATACACCAACAACTTTGGGGGTACAAAGTTGAAAAGAAATTATATCTGAGGGTACGAGAACAAAAAAGGTTGAATACCACTGGTCTATAGCATGAACAGGGAGAAGTGAGAAATACTTACAAACGTTTGGTTGGAATGGCTGAAGGGAAGAGGCGAAGTTTCACACCCATAAAAAGCAACAGATAAAGTATAGGTTTTTATATTTTAATCTTTAGATTTTTGTTCGAAGATAAAAGATACCTACTCAATAACAACTTGTGTGGTTCAAAGTCCTCTCCAGACGGCGGAAATATTACTTTCAAATCTTTCGCAAACCATATTTTACGGTCTGCTTGCCAGGCATGTATATTAATACAGGCATTTTTATGCAGACTGAAGCTGTCTCGCTGGCGACACGAACAAGTTTCGGATTCTGTGATAAAATCTCGAACAAAATCTGGCAATCAACACGGCAAGTATTAACCGGCAGTCTCAGGGCGAGTCGCAAACACGAATGTTGTATTTGAGAGGTGCTGGAATCGAATCTCGGTTCAGGTACCCAACAAACTTGACGTTTCGTGATTTTCCACAATTATTTGGAACTGATTACTTTTTCACACACATCGACCAATTCCTTTCAGATCCTTTCCAGGTTGCCGTGAAACTAATTATTATGCTTAGTGAGCTTTTAAATTTTGTGACGTCGTTAAATAGCTTAAGGAGCCTATTGACAGTCTCAGACGTTTCGGGGTTAATAGCATGGCACATTACATTTTACCTATGATTGCTAATCTGTGACTGTATGCAAAACAGTCATAGACTTTTAGCATAAATCTATAAATGCAGAATAAAATGTATTAAAGGAACGTATAGTATATAACTGGGTTTCAATATATTTATACTGTAGATAAACAAGAAATCTCAAATCGAATTAATATCTGATGTCTATTTTGAGCGCTGTAAAATACGATTTAAAAATAATGTCGAATTAAAAAAAATAACAAGTAATTCTCCGTATATCAAAACACCGGATTTAACCATTTAAAGCGCAGTGGTAAGTACCACCTGCTTCAAAAGTTAATAACTCTGCAAGTTGTATTCATGAGTTTCTTATCCTGGAATACAATACAAAATACTTTTTGCAATTTTAAATTTGTTATAATTTACATTCTGTATTTTCATTTACTATTTCAGATATCTTACATTAAAAAACAAGTACATCATGTCCAGTTGCTAAAATGTAAGACGACGGCAACAATAAAAATATAATAAATGTTAATATTTTACTTATTATTATTTCAAAAAATTAACCTCTGCCAACTTCTACAAAACTAAACAACGGAACGTCTCAGATGACATTCATACAAACATGTGGGTAATCATAACCTTAATTTCATTCGGTATTCCTGCTAATGATCGCATATTCCTGTCTTCATAATGTACACCACAGGCCGGTTTTCCATTAAAGTACGTGGTACAATAGCAACACACCATTAAGTCCCCAGGAAGTTATCTGCAAAGTCTCTTCGAAACATTGCTTAAGTACAAAGGCAGAGCTCATAGTGGAATACAATTTGGGGATCTGTCTTAAGGCATAAATTATTGTGATATCTGCATTTGTTACGCCTTTCGTGTAGTTTATGTTATTTTAAGGTTGTGCAACTGAACACAATAAGTTCACCAGGAAGACTTCGTAACAGTCGTAAAATAAATCTTAATAAATCATCCGTATTATTAATTTTCATCTAATTCTACTTAATATTTTTTGTCTTATTACAATACTTAATAAAGTAGTTTCTCATACTGTGTCCGATTTCATTGTCTCTACTGACTTCAGATTGTTGTTCTGTTCTGAGCTTGTCGATATTACGGTCTTGTGTAAGGAGGGTCCGACAGATGTCACCACTGACTCTCCTTCCGTTGCTCTGATGTAGCCTTTACGTAATTCTGACAGGTAGCTGCTACTAACAGAAGAAAATAATCAGTAACAAAAATTGTACGTTTCGATTGTCAGTCTGAATTCCGGCAATTTTAAAACCTTGGACTGTGTGGAAGACAGACAGGCAATCTGCTTAAGCAACTGCCTACAGCTAAGAGTCAGTTTTATTTTTAAGAGTGAAGAAACAAACCTTTGAGTTTTGAGAATATAGAATCCGAAAGCCAAAATGCTGATGAGAAGAAAGAGTCCCACGAACAGCACGGCAAGAACAGTTGGCTTACTTATCGGCCAGTGGTCCCTTCCTTGGCGCTCTGTGTTTCGTGCCCAGAAAGTGAGTAACTTGGAACCGGCGTCACTAGTGGACACGGGGACGTTTGTGGTGTTCACTGGAAGGGAACAACGAGTTGGTAAGTAGCTCCTACACCTATGTTCATTCCATTATATGATGAACCGGCTTGGATGTAAATATCCAGACAGAAAGTCCTCGACGCTAGATAAAATTGACAGTTCTTCTCGTTCGAACTAGTGATACAAAACATTCATCTTCCATATTAAAACAAGATTGGGCTTATATTATAACAAACTTCAAATTAACAGATTCACTATGTCTTTTTTTTATAATTTCTACGGAAAGGTGTAGGCATAAAATACCACAAAGTCTACTAATTAAGAATTTAAAATCTTACATTACGTATGAACACAACCGTCAGTCGTATTAGAATAACGACACGACCGATATATCGACTCCCTAATATCGATATGTAGAAGGCAAAATATTGATATATCGTGCGTTTCTCTAGCTCCAACTCGACTCTCTAATATCGATATGTAGAAGGCAAAATATTGATATATCGTGAGTTTCTCTATCTCCAATTCGACTCTCTAATATCGATATGTAGAAGAAAAATATTGATATATCGTGCTCTCTAGCTCCAACTCTTCAATCCAAGGTGCACATACGATGGACCACAGAGCCGTATGGACGTTGTGACCAAGATAAAGACAATGTGTGCCCATGATGGGAATCGAATATCAGCCTTCCAGCTCGTAGTTAACAACTATACTGACTGAGCTCTTCTGGTTCATAACTTGGCATGTGTCATAGCCAAGAAGACGTGGCATAGGACATCACATGACAACACTTACGGTGATTCACTGCACTGTACTCGCTGCTAATGTTGCTGACCCAAGAAGGAGTGGTTAAATCAACGCTGTTGCAGAGGTCGCCGTTGTCGCAGCATTTCAGGTACGGCCATTTTAGCTTCTTTCTCACTTCCGGCCGTCGGTTCTCACACAGGATCGGCGTATTGCCCCTGATGGATTGAAAGATTTTTGTTACCATATTAAAATGTGCATCTGTACCACATGACTGAATTTTGGACGTGACTTCACATCCAGGGCATCACACTGCTGATATATTATATACTATATACACATACATAAACAGGATTATGAATATTCGTGTCATGCATGACAGACTAATTTATAAATAATGGCGCCAGATGGAAAAAAGGTCCATTTTACTTGTAATGCTACTATCAGGTACACATCCCCTACATCCCACTTCTTTTAAGATCCATTCCATCTACGTCTATGTCTTCCAAGTGGTTTCTCACTTTTATGTTTTCAGAGCAAAGCGTTATCTTATCCTGGTTTACACAGGCCTTTGGGCCAGACCACGAAAAGTTCTACTTCCATTCATTTTCTTTCGTTTGTGAAGGAGTTAATGTGTCTAGTTTGAGTTCCGTTTTAAATGAAACACCCTGTATAGCACTCACTGCACACAGCCCCTGGTGACTGGGTGGGAGCCATCTTTCTTGTCCAGGTATTGACTGTAACACTTGTATTGACTATGACACGTAGTTCTGTTGGTACTTTTACAGTGCGTTGTTGTACATTCGCACAGAAGTTGGCGATCTGTAACACACAGAAGACAAAGGCTAGGTACTTTACCACTTCAACACCACAAACGAGATAGCTTCCTTAGAAACACCGCCCCCTTCCCGAGTATTATCGATATTTTATTAAGTCAAACATTCTCCTGCCATCTATTGACATGGCACTCCAAGCTCACTATTTGTGGATTTCGTTAATAAAAATTATAATTATGTTGGTGAAGAAAACAAAACATTTTATTATTAAATTAAAACCGACACGAAAAACGTTCAGGTATTCCCGATAGAAAACAATGACTGAGGAGGATCCATCCAACAAAACCTTTTGATTTGTAAGACAGCTTTAAAAATCTCCTAGCATCAATGAATGAAATCCAAAATAAAGAAATTAAATACAAAGTCCTGAATAAAATACGTTACTTTTACAGGCATTGCTGCCCTGAGTAGATATTGCTGTTAGTCCGTACCGCAAAGAAAACACTTCACCATTACATAAATCAAATGGTTAAAGCTGTTTCAGGAAATAATTCCTGTTTACATTAAAAATCGTTCGATACCTTAAATACAAAACGCAGAGATAATGATTGTTAAAGCAGGTTGGACATTACAGCTAGTTACGAGTGGGCTTTTAAGGGTTAATAACATTAGATGTTTGAATAGACATTAACGCATTCAGCATCGGTTAGTAACATATCCTATTATTTCCAGATTCATTCACTTCTCCTGTTTCATTTTTCCTGTCCATTTCTCTCAGCCGTTTAGCTTTTTACTACCGTCTTGAGATACACTGGCGTCTGCCTTTGATGACATGACGCCTCTACCAACGGAGCCGGGTGACGCCGATACATACAGCTCCAGTCAGTGTGCGGATTATTAATGCCTTCTATTGTGGAGTCTGCCAGGGCGAGAAACCTAACTGTGCATCCTGCATGAGCGACTTAAGTTTCACTATTACGGGGAACCCCCACCTACAAGTTCGTGTGTTCCTATTACCATTCGGTCGCAGTGAAGGGTTCTGCGTGAAACAAGCAAAGCCTTCTTTGTTCGTCTGCCCTTGGAGCATGTGGGATGTGAAATAAAACATGATGTTCCAAGACTTTTAACACAGCGACACAATAATGCATTACAATTTTATGTTTCTTGGCTTTACATCTCAGGTAGGCTTTTGGCTTCTTCTACTCACAGATTTCTTATTTACTGATGATGTAGATCTATCAATTACATGAGAAATGTAGTAACAGGTTGTAATGTGCAACAAATCTAAAACTTATTGACGATGGTGAAGAGTCAATTGAATAAAAATTTCCTTGGATATTATCCATCGTCTAGTAAATATAAAACGTAAAACGACGTTTCGGAGATGGGACTCTATCTCCGTCTTCAGGTTCCTACATAGTTGGGCCCACTAGATAGAGCTAATCCCTATCTCCGGAGATAGGGATTAGCTCTATCTAGTGGGCCCAACTGTGTAGGAACCTGAAGACGGAGATAGAGTCCCATCTCCGAAACGTCGTTTTACGTTTTATATTTACTAGACGATAGATAGGGATTAGCTCTATCTAGTGGGCCCAACTGTGTAGGAACCTGAAGACGGAGATAGAGTCCCATCTCCGAAAAGTCGTTTTACGTTTTATATTTACTAGACGATGGATAATATCCAAGGAAATTTTTATTCAATTGTAATGTGCAACTTTAAAAAACTCTGTACAGCTATTTGGAACATCAGTAGGTGTTCTGAGTATTAAAGCCGGGTGAACTTGTAGGTAGATATCAAAGTTTCGGGGGAACGTACTGTTTCCATCTTCTACCTTCCGAAATATTAGTATCATCGTACAATTTCACACGTTTTTATGGATCAGAGGACCATTATCGATATTTTCACTGTCGAGAGAAACTGATATCTCGTTAGGAAAATAAACGTAAAGGAATCACTGTGGACTGTATTTAAACGACATTCATATGGTGTGACCGAGCAAAACCACGTCCACACGTCATTGCAACCCAGAAGACCAATATCCACACATTTATTTTAAGATTTCTGAAAGTTATGAACAATATTATATTTTATTTCCCATTACTGTTTTTTTATCGAGGCGTGATGAAATTTTTTTTAAATAGTGATTTGCAATAAGCATGTTAATAATTTCCAGTTACTTTACCAAAGCTTTTTTAAACAGTATTCTTAAACAGGGATTATTTCCTTAAACAGCATCAACCAGTTGATCTTCGTAATGATGAAGCGTTGTCTTCTTTGCGGTACGGGCTGAATTCTTAAATATTATTTAGACGAGTTTATGTTTCAGAGGCTTGAAAACCAATTAATAAAACTGAAACAATGTAACAAAAAAAACGCCATATTCAAATGCATGTTGAGAGACTGTCCTACCTCCCTCACACTTGTTAACAGCCCTGTCTCTCTCTCTCTCTCTGGACACTGTTTTTCAGCCACGTGGCATTTCTACCCTGTCCACGCCCCCTTAGGATTAGTCACGTCATATTTCGGTCCCTTAAATGTAGTGTGTCACATATGGCATTCATACTTTGAAGTCTGGGAAGACTTTCGAGCCCGCTGTTGATAGAGGGGACGGACTGCAAGCCGCCTGCAGTGGCGTCCGGACGCCCGCCGTCCGGACGCTTCCAGATGCGGCACTCGGGCGTCCACCAAACGGAAGTAAACATCGCCAGACCGCCAAACATACTTGGCTGTGCTATTGTGCAGCCAGTAACAGAGAGAGATAAAAAGTCTGAAGGAAAGTTTGCCTGCTTGAACCTTGTAATGATTCATAAATGACTTCGGCTCCTGAATTATCGGGGCTTCCACAGTCTGGCGTACAGGACAACGAAGAATAATTTGTTTTCAGACTGAATTTTAATATTTATGCGTTCTTTGCACCAAGCACGTAAAGTTAACTCATAATGAAGATTGAGATTTGAAGTTTCTCACGGCAGTGGAGTTTTTTCTGGGTTGTGACTTCGCCCTCAAAAAGTGACGATTTTTAATATTAAGTAGCGTTAAAATTTATTTAAGATGTAATACAGAAGAAAATAGATTAGTGGATTGCAAGTTATACCCATGTATTATATACGGAATGTCCCATATGTCCGAAGCCATAGGAGAAACCGGGTTTTGTGAACACGGTAATGAACTTCTGTGTTCCATAAAAGACGGTACGTCATACTAGTCGAGAAACTAGTTCGTTTATACACGTTACAAGCCTTTCATAAATATTTAAAATATTTTTTCCACTATTTTTTGTAAGTTATAAGCTGTTTTAATATTTTTTTTTCAGATCCGAGATTCGTGTAAAATGCATGTAATATTGCGCCAAAAATTAATTTCGCCCGAAAACAGTGTAGGCAGTTGGTACAAAATGCAACAGTATCTAATACACTCTAACAGTTTTTGCAGATAAAGCAACATGCGAAACGTACAGACGGAAATATCATCTCTCCATTACGCGTTCACTTCATACAGTCCGCGTAATGAACTCGTAACAAAATCTGTAGACGAATGCCACGCGAGCCATCGGCTGAACGTCCACGGTTAGCATTCCTCTTGTTCTGTCTGAAGTACCAATTGCAGCATAGTTTTTAGGACGTAAATTGACTCAACTGTCAATAGTATGTGGGCTAGAGGAATCATTTTGTGTGTGGGAACTGCTCTCGATGCCACTGAAAATTGTAGTGATGCCCGACAGGCTGGCGACCTTTTCCGACAAGAAGTTAGCTATTTGAAGGGGAGACGTCTCGGTCTTTATACTAGGCGCATCATTTTTCTGTTCCAGGACGGTCGTCTGCGAAGGTCACGGTTGGTCTCATGCGAGTACAAATTCAAGACTTCAACACATGCCGCATAGCCCAAGTTAAATCTTTATACACCAGCGGTAAAACTATATATACCACGTGCTTTATACATTCGTTTTTCCCCCCCCTGAAATGTCACAGAATATTTCAGCCAAAGAGATATTACTGACTATCGGTGCTCTTATGAATGGCATGTTCTGTCATAATTCGAGAAGAGATGAATGGATTTTCGTGAAATTTGGTACGGAGAATATGCCCAGACAAAAATCTTAATTTCCTACAATCTTCAATAACGACGTGAGCTGGAAGGGTGATCATGTATCATAACGCCGTTACCCATAATCCCATAAATATTGTACTTTTAATGTGATGTCATCACTGTCCAATGCTAAAAATTATTGGTACTTGTGGGTTATCGGGACACATCGCTTTAAAAATAGGTTAGGTTAGGTTAGGCTAGGTTAGGTTAGTTTAGGTTAGGTTAGGTTAGGTTAGGTTAGTTTAGGTTTTTGGTTAGTTTAGGTTAGGTTACGTTAGGTTGACTGCCACGGTAATCTAGCGGTTAGAACGCTGGCCTTGTAATCCTGGGGTCTCGGGTTCGATTCCCGGCGGTGCCCGAATTTATAACTTGTGTTGGGGAAGGCCGTGGTCTAGGCAACACGGAGTTTTCCTCGGGGGATAATAATAGGTTAGGTTAGTTTAGGTTAGGTTAGGTTAGGTTAGGTTAGTTTAGTTTAGGTTAATGTGTGTGGATAAATGACATATACTTGAAAGTTACTATATTTTATTTCAATAAATGACAAATTATTATATTCGAATCTCCCGTTTTGTGTCCCGATAACCAACAAGTACCAAATTATTATTCCCGTAAAATTCAAGCTGTCATACTGCGTTAGTTGATACGCGTTTCCGTGTAGGCTACATTTGTGCTGTGTCTCACTTGAAGCATTTGTATGGACTGCCACTTCAGCGTTGTTTTTGTCAGTGATTCTATTTTCTGAATCTCATTTTATAATGAGTGATGCCGTGTCATATGAACCAGCTCTGCTGCCATTTATGGAACAAACAGGAGGCTCCTTCATGTCAAACTTCACAACATAATCACTTCTAGTGGAAAGAATTATGCTTCCTTTTCAAATCTCAAGTGCACCATTAACATTCCTTTATGGCAGAAGCGAGAGAGCTATGAGTATACTGAAGCTTTTGAAGCAAAAGGAG